CAGGGAAGCAGTTACTCTGAATCCCACCTGCCTCCTGAGGTCTTTGTGAGGAGCCCTGGCGGTGTGGTGGGTTATGCATAGGGCTGCAGAACCACAAGGTCGGCAGTTTGAATCCCCCAGGTGCTCCCCAGGAGATGAGGCCTTATGCTCCCCCAAACAGTTACGAGTCTTCAAAACTCACAAGGGCAGTTCTGGTCTGTTTCACAGGCTCTCGGAGTCAGAGCGGACTCCCGGGCAGCGAGTGTGTGTCTTTGTGAGGCTTACATGGGGCGAGATCTTGAAGAAGTGAGGAGTAGTCTAGCCTTCCAGGCAGGAGACTCGGCCTCCATTCCTAATCAGTGGATCTCACACACAGCCTTCAACCATCTGCCCGGGGAGCTTGTTGCCAAGATGTTGAGCAAGTTTCAGTGCAGCTTTCAGACTAAGATGGGCTAGGAAGAAAGGCCTGGTGATCCACTTCTGAACGGGAAAACCTCATGGGGCATAACAGTCTGATTCACAACCAACTATGCAGATGGCACAGGGCCAGGCCAGGCAGCTTTTTGTTCAATTGTGCGTGAGGTCTCCCGAGATGGGCGCCCACTGGGTGGCAGCTAACAGTAGCAGCAGGGTCTGGTGCAGAGCAGATGTGATTCTCTCTGCAGGCTGGCCTGTAGGAAGCCCAGCGTTTCTCTCCTGGGGAGAGGACGTCTACTCTGGACACATGTGTTCTCTAGCTCCAGTTACTCTCTCCTTTAGCCGGACCTCCAGAGAGCCTTTTTTTTTTCTACCAAAGCATTTAGCAAAATTAAGACTTTTTACTGAAAGGCAGGAGTTGGGCTGTGATCTGCAGGGACTGAAGTTCAAAACCACCAGCCAGCTGCTCCTCTGGGCTTTTGATTCCTGTAAAGAGTTAGTCTTGCAAAATCACGAGGGCTGGTCTACCCAGTCCTTCCGGGTGGCAACAGGTCAGCATCATCGACTGGATGGCAGTGAGCGTACAGGGAAAAGTCGGGTAGGATTAAATGTCATCAGGCTTCAGGAGACTTCCCAGTGGGGTCACGTCCCTCTGAGTCAGAATGGACCTAAAAGCAGTGGGATTGGTTTGGGTTTGGCCTAGCCTTCCCTTGTTCTAATTGACCCCTAGCACAGCCTTTACTCACGGACCTCCACACGTGCTGCAGTCTCCCAAGCCTCTTCCTGGAGATTTTCAGAGGTCTGCCTCCCTGCCTCCTGGGAGTATGCCATCAGTTGTCCTTGAAGGATGCCAACAGCTGCTTGTTTGGGCCGGGTCTGGACCATGCACCCCCTTCCCCAAGCCTCTCAAAAAGATGGACGACCTGCTGGGCTTTGCAGCCCGCTTCTAGCCTTACGAGGAGCTTATCTCTCCGGGCAGGGTCCACACAGCCCCTTCCCCCGGCATTCTGAGAAGCAAGTCTGTGGAAAAAACCAAGATGATTTGCTAACAGACCCCGTCCTGACTCAAATCCTGCAGCTGCAGCACTGAAAGCCTCCCCTCCTCTTATCAGCATGTGCGTCCTTGGCTCAAGCCCTGTCTATGTATATCCCACCGCCTCCCTGCCAGATGCGACTTCCCTGACCTAGCTCATTCAGTCATGGAATCTGCCCGGGATTTCTTTCCCTGCCTCAATAAAATCTTTCCTGACTTCACATTCCTGGCTGAATTCTATCTCCGTTGTGCGTCTCCGTTTCCAGCTCTCCCTGCTTACCACCTGTTACGTGCCGTTCTGCTGGGGCTTGAAGACGGTTCTTAGTTCCCATGTTGGCCATCTGCTCCTTAGGAGGGACAATGACAGTCCCTTTGCCTGTTGAACAATCAGGTTCCGCTCCCCTGGGAATTAGCTGGGACCCCTAGGCTGCTAACAGACAGCTTGGTGGCTGGACCCCACTCAGGAAAGACTCGGGAGAAAGATGTGCTTCCAAAAAGCCACAGCCCTGAACCCCCGGGAAGCACAGCCCTCCTGCGCCACACACAGCGTTACCACGGACTGGAGTCATGGTGACGGCAACTGGTTTGGGGTGGTTGGAGCCACAGGTGGTGAGGATGGTGCAGGTGGCTCGTGGCACATGGGGAAGGAGGCCTTCTTCAACGCAGAGCTTTCCCCACGCGGCCTGGAAGCCCAAGGAGACACAGCCAGCGCCCCCTGCGTGGAGGCACTTGGAAGCAAAGGTGTGAACTTTGGCATTCCTCCCTCTTGGGTGGGGGAGGGGTGTTGACATGTAATAATAGCCCCTTTGCAGTGTGAGGGAGGATGCATGCAGCCCATGAGAGAGAGAAGGGACTGAGCTTCAGATCAAAGGGGGTACAACGGCCTGCGGGGAACCCACTGGAGCGACCTGCCTTTCAGAAAGCCCGGCTGAATGAATGTCCTCCGAAGGCAGCAGTCCCGGCCTCTCATTTCCTTCCTCTCTGCTCTGTTTAGCACCAAGCCTTCTCTCTCAGCAGTTGAGGTGGCTTCTTGAAGGGAGTTTGTTTGCATCACCCCCACTGGCTCCAGCAGGTGGGGCAGGCCCAGGCCTCCCCCTGTGGTCTGTTTGCCTGTCACCCAGGGACAGCGCTGGGGTGTCACCAGGAAGCACACCAGTGAGCCGAATCCAGCCCCATGGGGGGCACCCTGCCCAGAGCTTCTCAGGGCTATTGCTTTCTTTTGAGCCTCCGACTCCCAACAAGCATTGGTTTTCGGGAGAGAGTTCTTAATGCAATAAGCCCAAGGCTACCTGGGCTGTGAAGAGCCAGGTCAGTGTTGGAAGAGACTCCACCAGGAGCGGGTTCCTTTCCTGTGGGGTCAGACACCACCCAGCTCTCATTCTGTAAAACTGCTGCTCTAGCCTTTTCCCC